TATATATATATATATATATATATATATATATATATATATATATTCAGTACCCATGTGGCAACTGGAAATATAATATGTATTATTTGCATATAAGTGTTTAAATATTTACCATATTTGTTTTCTGAAATAAATGATCCTTTTATATACTAGCTAAGCTATCTAGGTGAAATAGTTTCACAGACCTAAAATATTTGCTGAGAACAAATAAAAAGGATATAAAGACCAAGTATGCTGGCACATGCCTATAATCCCAGTTCTCAGTAGACTGAGGCAGGAGGATCAAAAGTTCTAAGTCAGCCTGGACCACATAGTGAATCCCTGTCTCAAACAACAAGAAATAAAATTCAGAGGACACTGAGGTCGGCCATACACCAGTAGTCACAGTCTTTTCAGGTTGTATGTCTGCAGAAATTGGGCTGTCATGCTGTAGGCACTTCTTTCTATGTTCAATACCTGCTGGCCAGTATAGACTTCTCTACTGGGTGAAGAGGGGTGGACAAGCTTGAAATACAAAGTAAAATGAGAGTTCACAGCGTGAAAATAGCATGTGCCCATCACAGGCTTCACAGCGCTAGAGCTCTCTGTGATAACTGGTCTATAAGCAAATGTGGAGAAAAATAGTTCCATGGTGAAGCATGTTGTAACCGTGTACCGTACACCCAAAGGCAAGGAGTTCTCTAGCTTTCTAACTTCCAACAAGTGCCACTCACAACACTTTGAACACAGCTTGCTTGTTAAATGGTGAAGATAAAAGAAACAAGAAGAGGGCTGCTTAGAGCAGACAAAGCCAATGGTGAGGAAATGGCAGGTGTGAGGGTGTGGGAGCTTTAGCAACGGGGCCCTGCTGGACACATTGTGCAGTTTGTGCATCACTTGGAAAGTGTTGTCTTAGTTACGGCTTCTGTTGCTGTAAGGAGAACCATGACCACGGCAACTATATATATATATATATATATATATTTATAAAATCTGAGCAGAGAAAAGCCTAGTTTTTAAATATCTCTACGAATAGACCCGTATTCTTGTCAAAACTGTTGATCTCAGTAGTAAATTCAAACTCCTCACAGTCTTTTGGAAATCCTAGATCCCTAAAAGACTCTCATGAATGGTGGGCTGGAGAGATGGCTCATCAGGAAAGAGCACTGACTGCTCTCGCAGAGAACCCAGGTTTGGTTCCCAGCACCCACATGGTAGCTCACCATCTTCTGTAACTTCTTCTGGCCTCTGTGGGCACCATGCATGCACATGGTACACAGACACACATTCACACATAAATTTTTAAATAAAAATTTCTGCCGGGCGGTGTGATGGACGCCTTTAATCCCAGCACTCCGGAGGCAGAGGTAGACAAATCTCTGTGAGTTCGAGACCAGCCTGGTCTACAAAAGCTAGTTCCAGAACAGCCTCCAAAAGCCACCGAGAAACCCCATGGGGGGGGGGGGGATTCAAGAACAGACTAAAGACTCTGAACTTTTAATTTTTTAATAATTTATTTTATTTTATGTTCATTGGTATGAGGATGTCAGATCCCTTGCAAGTGGAGTTACAGACAGTTGTGATCTGCAAGGTGGGTACTGGGAATTGAACCTGGGTCCTCTAGAAGGGAGCCAGTGTTCTTAACTGCTGAGCCATTTCTCCAACCCCTAGTTTTTTTAATTAAAAAAAAAAATTTAATCAGGCTGGAGAGATGGCTCAGAGGTTAAGAGCATTGTCTGCTCTTCCAGAGTCCAGAGTTCAATTCCCAGCAACCACATGGCTCACAACCATCTATAATGAGATCTGGCACCCTCTTCTGGTGTGCAGGCAAAACACTGTTTACATAATAAATAAATATTAAAAAAAAAATTTGACCATGTATAGAATTTCTTTTCCCCCAACTCTGTGATGTATATATATCTGTGGTGTGTGTGTGTGTGTGTGTGTGTGTGTGTGTGTGTGTGTGTGTGTGTGTGTTGAAAGAGAGGGAAAGAGCTAGGCAGAGGTGGTGCATGCCTTTAAGACCAGCTCTTGGGAGGCTGAGGTAGGCAAATCTCTGAGTTCAAGGTCTGCCTGGTCTACAGAGTGAGTTCCAGGACAGCCAGGGCTGCTATTA